GAGGAGGAGGAGGAGGAGGAGGAGGAGGAGGAGGAGGAGGAGGAGGAGGAGGAGAAGGAGGAGGAGAGGAGGAGGAGGAGCAGGAGGAGGAGGAGGAGGAGCAGGAGGAGGAGGAGGAGGAGGAGGAATGCGGCCGGTGCCGCCTCGCTCGGCGGCGGAAAGTCACGGCACCACGCGAGCGACGATCAAAAGCGGGTCTCACGCGAGATGGCATAGCGACCTTACGCGGTGGCTTACGCGGGCCGCCGGCGCGGCACGCTGCATTGGAGACGAGGGCGCTTACGCGCGACCTTACGCGAGCAGCTTACGCGCCAGTGTCGGTGGATTGCGTCGCTCACGTGGGCCGGCCTCCTTGGCGATCGTCGCTGGTCCGGTCTCTGCAGCGCTATGGGCGCCCCGCCGCACGGCTCCACTGCCTCCGTTCGCCCCAGGGAGCGTCCGCTGGCTGACCGATGTCCATGCTCGGAAGGACCGAGCGAATCTCGCTCTCCTGGTGCAACTCGCAGCCCGCGGCCGGGCTGCTACTCTGCAGGAGACGCGCAGGGAGACACTCACAAAGTCAGCACGTGGGCCTCCCTCCTACCCAGCCGCCGGCTCTTCGCCACCCGCGCCCACCTCGCGGACAGGCAGGGGCTCTCCGGGGGCGTCGCTGTGGTGCTGCCAGCGGCCTCCGAGGATCCGCAACCGGCGGTGCTCGTCCCAGGTTATGCGCTGCTCGTTTGCTGTCGGTCGCAAGGTCAGCCTCTGAAATTGATCAGCGTCTCCGGGCGGCGAGCCGACGTCCTCGGGGCCATCGTAGCTGCGACCCTTCCCCCGCACGCGGGTGGAGGGGGCGGTCTCAACATGCAGTTGGCCCGCACCCTGGCTGGGGGAAGAGGAGGACACAGCCGGCTGGCTCCAACACGTTCAGCAGCACGGCGCCCGACCCATCCCGGTCGACGGACCCACCCAGTCTGGCGACCAGGGGGAGTCCCAGATCGACTCTGCCGGCGTCTCTGCCACCTCCCCCCCGAGGTCATCCAGATCTCCGGCAACGCTCCGACAACCTCGAGCACGCCTTTGCTGCTCCGCAGGGCGACCTCTCTCCCGCAGGCGGCCCCTGACGACACACGACCGGGTCGGCCTTCCCTCTGCCCCTGCGACCTGGGCGGCGCCCTGGAAGCGTCGTTCCAGAGGCAGCGGCCCCGCGGCCACGCTCAGCCGCGCGAACTCCGCTGCTGCTCCCGCCACCCCGGTCGGGCAGCTACGCTACGGGCGTGGCTGACCACCTACCAGACCACCCCAACCCAACCCGAAGACCCGAATTTCGGGTTGGGGGGGTATGGGCTCCATATGTGTTTTTTCGATGTTCCCGGACCCCCCCCCACTAGAAATCGAGGGTAAATCTGACCCTTCGGGTTGGGTTGGGGTGGTTTGGTGGGTGGTGAGTGGCTCGCGGGGAGGGGCTGGACTGGAGACCCCCTCGCGCCCCCCTTCTGCCCCCCGGTGGTTCGCCCGCTGGCGGCACGAGGCCGCAGGCGCTGCCACCTCCGCCCTCGCCCTGGGGCAACGTGGGCTGGGCATGGCACGGCCGGCGCCTCCACCCCGCGCACCAGCTCGGTCGCGAGCTCTTTCGCCGCGCCGTCATGCGGGGAGTCCTGGCCCCCAACGGCGCCTGGCCGCCCAAGCCATCCGCCTTTGAGAGGGGGCCCGTGGGCCAGCTCTCGGGGCCCGCCCCAGATCGGCCTGAAGCCGGACAAAGGCTGCTGGACGCCTACTTCGCTGACCAAGCCCCTCCGCCCCTCCCTGCCCTCCCTCGGCCAGACTGGGAAGGGCTCGTCGCCGCGCTCGTGCTCCAGCCCACTGACAGCGCCCCTGGCGTCGACGGCGAGCCCTACGAGACGCATCACATCGGCTCTCGCCTCGTCGCCTGCCTGCTTGGGTAAGCAGTCCTGGCAGCGGGCGACGCCCCAGTACTCCTCGACCGCGCCCTCGGCCCCTCTGTCGACCCCGTGGTCTGGATCCCCAAGGTCCCGAACGCCGAAGTCCGTCCCCGGGTATCTCAGGCCCTTGCAGGTTCCCTCGTGCCTCCGCCGCCTGTTCGGGGCGGGCATCGCCGACTCGGTCAGACCCGCCATCGAACTCCGCCTCTCGCCCGAGCAGGCAACGGTCAAGGGATGCCACCGCGGTCTCAACATCGCCCGCGCCGTCTCTCACCGCTGCACAGCCCGCCGCCCCTCGCGCCCCCCGGGCCCGCATTGCGAGCGATCCCGGGTAGTGACCTGGACACGGAGGATCAATGCGTGCGGGAGGCCGCCGCGCATGCGGTCCTCCTCGCCGATGAAGATGAGGCCTTCGAGAGGCTGCCCATCCAATGGCTGGACGACGTCCTTGACCGACGGGGGCCACCCGCCCGGTGCAGACATTGCCTCTCTGCGCTTTGCAGCGCGGGGCACGTCCAGTCCAGCAGCGGTGGCTGTCAGCCCCCACTCAGGCGGCTGCTGAGGTCCGTCGGCATGCCCCCCCCTCCCCCCCTGTAGGACCCCTCGTTTGTGCGATTACCACCAGCGCTGCTTTGTTCTACGAGCAGCGATCATCCCGGGTGAAATCTTATTGTGTTCGCATTGCTGTCGATTGCATTCCTATCGGTAGAGAAAAGAGAAAAAAGGGGAGGGCGGTGAGGAGGTCCTCTTGTTTTCGTATTGCAATCCTGATGCGCTTGCATTGGAACGGGGAGGGAGAGAGGAGGGCGGGTGGAGGAGGGAGGGGAGGCGCGGAAGCTTAGCGGGACAATCGGACAAAACAGGAACAGTAGGAACAACCGTTTGTTTTCACTGAGTTTTTCACAGCAAAGAACACAAACCCTGTGACTGCTGGTCTGTTTTTAGTTTGTCCTAGTTGCCCATATGAAAACAACAACTTTGTATATTTGTTATTGTCTTCTGGGTGAGCTTCCGCTGCCCCTCCCCCTCCTCCGCCTTCCGTTCTCATCCTTCCTTCCTCCTCCAATTCAGTTACACGAAGACTGCAATAAGAAACAAGATGACCACCTCACCCCGTCCCCCTTCTCTTCCAATAGGAATGCGATCGGAATGCAATTGGGATTCCTATCGGTAGCGAAGGAAGGGGGAAGGGCGGCGAGGAGATCCTATGGCTCTCATTGCAATCAGATTGCACTTGCATTTGAAAAGGAAAGGGGGAGAGGAGGAGAGAGGGTGGAGGAGGGAGGAGGGGGCGAGGAAGCTCACCAGGAAGAGAGGAAACAATAGGACAAACGCCCTGCGTTCAGAGATAAAACAAGAAAATGCCATGAACCCTGTGACCGTCGCTCTGTTCTTCGCGCTTCATAGTTTCCTCGTGCTTTTTCATACAAGAAAAAACATGTTTTGTTCCATATGTTTCTTGTTTTTTCGCGTTTTCCTGGTGAGCTCCCGCTGCCCCTCCCCCATCCTCCGCCATCCCTCCCCATCCTTCCTTCCCCCTCCACTGCAGTTGCAATGAGATTGCAACAGGAAGCGAGATGGCCACATCTGACTCCATCCCCCTGCTCTTCCAGCAGGAATGCGATAGGAATGCGATCGGGATTCCTCCGCCCTTCCCTTCCTCCTTCTCATGCGTGAATTCAATAGGAATGCCATCGGAATGCAATAGGAATCTCTCCCTCTCCCGTCCTCATCCACCAGCAGGAATACAGTCGGAAAGCAATGCGACCACAATGATAATACATTCGTGATTCCTCTATATCCCTCCTCCCCCTCCTGCGATGAGAATACAATCGACGTGGCAACCGATGATGGAGATGCACAAGAAACTATCAGGAAATCCATCAACAACAAGTCCTGTTGTAACCACACGAACAAAGTGTCGCACGCGCCCCCCCCCCCCCCCCTCAGCGCCGCTGAGTGCGCAGGTCGGGTCGGGCGAAAGGGGGGGATAGCAAAGGGCGGGCTTGAGAATCAGCTCGCGCAGCTGATTTTCCCGGCGCCGGAGGCGGCTATGTATCAAGGAATAGGCCCCTCGGTGAGGCCGAAACCAGCTGCATGCAGCAAATTTCGTAACCCCCCTTTCCCAATGCCCCCCGTCTCCGAAAGGGGATTTCATGAAAATGCGCGTTGCCGCGGAACTGGCTAATGCGATGCTGTTGCGAAACTTGTTGGTGCGAAAAAGCCTTTTGTTGCAAAACAGGTTGTGCAACAAAGTGCTGTTGTTGCGAAACTGGTCCTCGCTGCTTTAATAAGAACTCTACCAACACAAGCAAGCGTCAAAATTGCATCACTGGCGCCGCCCCCAACCCTCTCGTCCAGCCCGAGCAGGGGCCAGGTGTCCCACCTGTGTCGACGACCCTGCCGCCCTGCTTCTCCGACGCCGCTCGCGCCCTCTGGGCCGCGGCCTCTCCTTTCCCGCCCATGCACCTGCCCTCCTCCTCCTTCTCCTCCTCCTCCTCCTCCTCCTCCTCCTCGCCGCGCCGTCGGTCGGCTCACCCTTCACGCCGAAAACGATTGGGACGGCGACGGGCGCGTGCTCGTCACCGAGCCCACCCTTGACCTTGCCCGTTGCGAGGCGGGAATTTATCCATACCCACCGCCTGTGAACCAGCGTCCCGGTGCCCCAGCGGGCGGTGGATATGGATAACTCTTGGCCCCCGGGGGCCCGAATATGTCCATATCCACCGCCTGCCGATGACCCCGAAATTGATCCTCCAGGCGGTGGTCGTGCATAGATTCCCGCCTCGGACCCGTGCCCTCCTTGCCGCCAGAATCGGTAGTGAGGCGGCCGGGCAGGCGACCGTCTGCGCTCGGCCTCGCCGCTGCTCCCTCAAGGTGGCCCTCGTGCCCGTCGGCGCTAGCGAGCGGTGGGAGCGAATCACGCCTCTCCCTTCGGCAGCGGTGCCGTCCGCGACTCTTGGCCCTGCCTCGGAGCCACCGTCTGCACTCGCACTCCGCTGGGGCACGTTCCCAACGACGGCTGGCACGACGACGAGCAGATCGGAGCGATGAGGGAGGCCTCGTGGGCCAAGGCCATGGGGAAGGCTACGAAACGCGCGCAAAACATCGGCCACGCCCAACTGTCTGCAGGTAGGCGCTCTGAACTCTGGAATTGCAACGTCGCTTCCCTCGCCACGTATCCAGCCCATCACGTTCTTCTGAGCTCCCCGCTTGAAGTTCTTGCCGGCTCTCACCTCAGGGTGGCCCTCGGCGTCGCTGGTGCGAGATACGCCTCACCGGGCTTGCTCCCAAGCCTCGGCCCCCGCTTTGGATTTCGGGCCTGCCTTAGATGCCTCGCAGCGGCCTCTCGGGCTACCGCTGCCCTCGCCTTCGCGCCCCATGCCTTCCGGGGCCTCCTGGGAGGCTGCTGCGATCTGGGCCGCGCTGGCGCGGTGGGGGCAGACTTCCCCCGGCGACCCGCCCAGCTTCCCGCTGGACGGCCGACGCTGGCCCGCGTCCGTCGCACAGGCGGCCCTGCGAGTTCGGCGCGCCCTCTATAAGAGCCCAGCCTCGACGCGAGCCGCGGCTCCAGCCTCGGGCGCGCGCTCTACTACGTGGCGGCGCGGGCCGACCGAAACCGCGGCCACGTGCGCAGCGAGCTGCGTAAGCATGCTGCGGCGCGGCCCTGCCGCGGCTTCCTGCACTGCCGCGCACCACACCGTCGGGCGCCTCTGCCGCGGGCGCCCCGTGGGCCCCCCCCGGCCCCGCGCGGTGGAGGGGCGCGCGGACCGCCTCGACCGCGCGCGCATCGAGGCGCGCGGGCAGCCCGCTGTCCTTGCTTGGCACGCGCCCGCGCGGGCTCGGCGCCGCGCCGCATGCTGTGCCGGGTGCCCTGGGGCCCACGGCTACTACCTCGCCAGCCGAGCGGACCGGGCTGCCCGAGGTGGCCGGAGGCCCACGGGGCCGATCGGTTCGCGCCTCCGCCTCAGACCGAGCCGGCTCCCGCCTCCACCGCCGCCGCCTCCCTCCCTCGCCCCTGGGGGCTTGCCCGGGGTCGCCCTGGCTGCAGGCGCGGGGATCAGCCCAGGTGTTGCTCGGGCACCGCCTTCGCCCCCCCCCCACACCGGGCCCGTCTCCGGCCAGCCCGCAGGCCGGCGAGCCTCTGCGCGCCCCGTCCCGCCATCCCTGCGCGCGCACTGCAGCTGACGAGCCTGCCAGCTCTTCGCGAGCTGCCGGCGCTTCTGAGGACGCAGAGATCCAGCTGCTTCTTGCCAACAAGCTCGTGCTCCACTGCCGTTGCAGCACCCCAGCTGGCCGTTTTCTTGCCGTCGGGTGGCGCACGTGGGCGGGACTCCGGCCCAAGGGCGGGCCGACCATCGAGGGCACCACCTATGCGTCGCCGCACGCCTGCTCCGGTGCCGAACCCTAAGAATTCTTCGCCCCCTTCGATCTTACCCTGCCGGCCGGTGCCTCTTCCCCTCGGCGGACCCCCCGGCCGAGGGCGACGCCCCCGGCGGGGAGGGGCCTGCCCAGAGGAAGCGGCCCGCCTCCCGCCCCAACTGCCACCGTTCTTCACGAAGGCGCCGTGGATCTCCGATGCGGAGCCAGCGCTATCTACCACGCACGGATGGTTCCCCGCGCTTGTGCCCGCCACCCGGCCTTTGAGCCCACTCATGGGCCGTGCGGACGCGCATTGGCCCCCTGAGCGCCCCAGCCACTGGAGCACAGTGCGCTCCCGCTACCCTCTGGTGGCTCCCGCAGGGACCCTCCTTCGAACCCACCCGCGGCCCCTGCCCTTGCAGGAAGGGCGCCTGCCCCCACGGGGACGATTGGGACGTTAGATCGCTAGATGGTGGTGAACGGGCTCCGGCCCTTGGAGCCAGAGGGCAACGGCTCCTCCCCCTTCCGCAACGGCCATCTCTGCCCCGTGGAGAGCACCTGTGCGCGTCCCCTGAGATCCTGGCGTCTCGAAAAAGTCGAGACAGAGGTTTTTCATAGTTTCCAGCCTCCCGAGGCCCTCGCCGGGCCTCGGGACCGTCAAAAAACGACTCGGGACGAAAAACCGGTCCCCGGGGAAGTGGTCGGGAGGTCGGGGGCCCGCGTCTCGAAAAAATCGAGACGTCTGATGTCTGGGTTTGCGAAGCAATCCCCGTGCGGGCTTTTCAGAGCGTTTTTTTGTTGCGTTGGAGGGCTCCACTCCGCGGAGGAGGAGGAGGAGGAGGAGGGGGAGGATGAGGAGGAGGAGGAGGAGGAGGAGGAGGAGGAGGAGGAGGAGGAGGACGAGGACGAGGAGGAGGAGGAGGAGGAGGAGGAGGAGGACGTGCCTTCCCCCCTATGACCCGCGGGGCTTCGGCCGCGGCACCCCCCCCTCCTGCCGGGGACGCCGCGGCCTCCTCGATCGGTCCCTGCCCTGCAGGGCCCTCCCCGCTGCGGCGCCGGTACCGTCGCCGCGGTCCCTCTCCTTCGTCGGTCGCCTCTCGACTGCTCGCGCTCCCCGCCTTCCCAGTCCCGGCTGGCTTAGGTCAACGTCCCCCCGCGGCGTACTCTCGTGCCCACTGTCCCTCCCCGCCACGCATGCCCGGATGGTCATGGCTGCTGCCGGTTGCGAGACCCCAACTAAAGGTCTCTGAGAGCTCGGCCGGGCGCACACGCGCGCGTTCCGCTGCTTGCACTCGACTTTCTACGCGCCGTCGCCGCGACGCCAAAAGTGTGTGTGTGTGTCCTGTCCTTCTTACCTCGATTTGGCCGGCCTGGTGCACGACACTCGCGTGCTCTTCCACCTTGCAATTCACACTTTAGCCTGTCCCCTACCCAGGATACATCTGTGTATATATACGCATATACATATGCATATACGCGCGGCCGCCACTCGTGCGGTTGTACTTTACGCCAACGTGGCCAATTTGCGTCTGACCGACTGTTGCTAAAACATCGCGAGGTAGAACAATGTGTGTGTGTGTGCGGCGCTGTTCTGCTGGCCTCGGCTCCACGCTTCCGTTGTGCCCCATCCGTGGGAGACACGGCTCGTCCTCGCACGCTGTTCCTCCTGCCGTCCCTCCCCTCGGTGTGCGAGGCGCCGGTTAGCACCTTTGGTAGCTTCCCCGCTCGTCCCCTCCTCTCGGCCGCCTCCCCGAAAGACGCCGGCACAGCCTGGCTCCACATACGGTCAGACCGTGTTCCGCGCTCGGTGCCGCGTGGGTCCTTGGCCGCTCCTCCGAGGCCTCGGCGGCACCCCCTGGGCTCTCAGCTGCCTAACTCCGCTGCGTCGCTGCGTGCACAGCCGAGATGCCAAAAAGCAAATGTGTGTGGTTACGTGTTTGTATATTTTGTTTGTGTGTGTGTGTGTTTGTTTGGATGTTGGTCTGTGTATTGTGTGCTTCTGTATGTGGCTGTGTGCTGTGTTCGTGGTTGCGATTGTGGTTTCGGGCGTAGCCCGAATGTGTTTCTCGCGAGGTAAACTGAACTGAACTAAACTGAACAAACTGGTCGCACCCGTTACGCGACGGTTTTATTCTCGGCCGCCACGGGCGCAACCTATGGCGCAAACGATCGGAAACGGATTCTCGGCCGCCGGGGGCGCAACCTATGGCGCAACCGATAGCAAATGTTTTTTTCTCGGCCACCGAAGGTACAACCTATGACGCAACCGAGAGGAGACGGTTTTATTCTCGACCGCCGAAGGTGCAACACCTATGGCGCAACCAACAGGAGACGGTTCTATTCTCGACCGCGAGGGCGCAACATATGGCACAACCCATAGGAGACACTTTTATTCTCGGCCGCCGGAGTCACGACCTATGGCGCAACCGACAGGAAACGGATCTGTTCTCAGCCGCAGAGGGCGCAACCTATGGCGCAACAGATAGGAGACGGTTTTATCCTCGGTCGCCGAGGTCGCAACCTATGGCGCAAACGATAGGAAACGGTTTTATTCTCGACCGCCACGGGCGAAACCTAGCGCGCAACCAATAGGAGACGGTTATATTCTCGGCCGCCGAGGGCGCAACCTATGGCGCAACCGATAGGAGACGTGTGTACTCTCGGCCGCCAAGGGCACAACCTATGGCGCAAACGATAGGAGACGGTTGTATTCTCGGCCGCCGAGGGAGCGACCTATGGCGCAACCGACAGGAGACGGTTTTATTCTCAGCCGCCGAGGGTGCAACCTATGGCGCAACTGATAGGAAACCGAGCTGGAGCAGGAGGAAGACGAGGATGAGGAGGAGGAGGAGGACGACGACGATCAGGATTGGGAGGAGGACGGGGAGGAATACGAGTAGTACGAGGACGAAGTGTGGGCACTCGAATGTGTGCGGGGCTACGCCAGACTTATGATCGCCGTTTGGGCTGGCGAAGCAGCGAGCTGTCTTGTGATTGTATTTGTGTTTGTGTTTGTGCCTGTGATTGTGCTGGTGCTGTTATTGTGTTTGTGTGTTGTGATTGTGCTTCTGCTGTTTCTTGTGCTAGTGCTTGTGTGCGTGAGTGTGCCTGTGCTTATGAATGTGATTGTGATTGTGCTTGTGTGTTGTGTTTGTGCTTATGTGAGATGTGTGTGTAGTGCTGTGTGTGCGTGTGTTCGTGATTCGTGATTGTGTATACGAAGTTTGTGTGTAATTGTGCGCATGTTCGTGATTATGTGTATGCCTGTACGTGTGTTTGTGGTTGTGTGCTGTGTGCTGTGCTTGTGTGTGTGTTCGTGCTTGTGTTTGTGGTTGTGTGTGTTAGTGTTTGTGGTCATGGCTGCGTTGATGTGTGTGGTTGTGCTTATGGTTGTGATCATACTTGTGTGTGCTTGTGCTTGTGCATGTGTTTGTGGTCGTGATTGTGTGTGTGCTCGTGCTTGTGGTTGTGTGAGTGCTTGGTTGTGTTTATGTGTCCTTGTGTTTGTGTTGGTGTTTGTGGATATGGTTGTGTGCTGCGTGCCTGTGTGCATGATTTTGCTTGTGGTCGTATATGAATGTGTGTTTGTGTGTCGCTGTCTTTTGTGTGTTTGTGATTTCGCTTGCGATTGTGTGTGTTTGTTTCTGTGTGTTTGCGTTTGAACGTGTGCTTGTGAGTGCGCTTGCGGTTGTGCGTTTATGATTGTGTTTGTACCC